CACACACACACACACACACACACACACACACACACACACACACACACACACACACACACGATTCACACACACACACACACACACGCACGTACACACGTACACATGTGGGCACTTACGTCGATGGTTCGTCGATCCACTTTGCGCATGTACGACTTCTTTGTCTTGACCTTGAAGGGCTTGTCACCGAGCGGGGGTCCTTTCTTTTGCTTCAACGTGTTGTGATGCGCACCACCACCACCACCACCGCCGTTGCTCCCACCATTGTTGTTGGTGCTGGCCGTGCTGGAGTGGCTTCCAGCGGACGGCCCTGTTGACGATGGTCGAGGCTGGCGTACACACAGGTGCATGTACATGTACGCATGAGTCGACCATCGCAACAGGGCAATGCGTTTCTTGCCACGCAGGCGCAGTATGTATCCACATACATACGAATACAGATACGAATACAGATATGAATACAGATACGATCCACACACACACACACACACACACACACACACACACACACACACACACACACACACCACACATACACACACACATACACACACACCTACCTCTGATGATGACGGAGAGGGTGAGTGCTCTGCACAGTAGAGGTATCCTGGAATCGCGCGCTGTTTGCATGGGGGATTGCGGAACGTACACATCCCATATGTGGAAGGGGCAGGGGCAGATGAAGATGATGACGGCCGAGCCATGCCCGGTGACGAGTAGTGCGTTCCACCAGCATTGGTTGGCCCACGTTGGCCGTACCGCGCAGTGGCTTGGTGGTGGTGTGGGGTGGTTGGTCCGGTTGTGTATGGGCTTGGGCGGGACAGGGTGCTTGAAGGCCCGCCGCTCGTGTATCGATACGGTCCTTGCGTGCCGCTGGTGTAAGCCGTTCCTGTCGAGGACGACCCTGCTCTGTGACGTGGTGCTGCTGTTCGCGCAGGCACCGACGCCGGCTGGGGCGCATAAGCAGAGGATGTGGACGGGAGCGACGACGATACCGGGCCTGGCGCCCCAGCACGGACGCCGTTCCGGTGTGGTGGCGGGGCGGTGCTTCCGCTGCTGGGAGCTGCGCCGGTTGAGTATCGCGGTCCACCCACATAGGACGAAACGCCCTGGGTTGGAGGAGGTGCGTAGCCCTGGGTGGGCGGCGGCACGCCATACCGTGCAGGGTGCCCCGTGCTTGGGGGCGGTGCAGTGTTGCCGCGGTTCGTTGGCACGCCATACGCCGATCCCGGCTGGTTCGGATATGCGGTTGCTCCTGCAGCTGGTGTTGTGGACGATGGCGACTGTGAAGACATGACGGTGCCACGTGGCGCCGTGCCCATGCCCGATGGCGGCGGCGGGCGCGCGTGCTGCATGGAGGCCGCAGGCGTGGATGCATACGTGGGTTGTGTGGCCGATGCAGCCTGGTACACGGGCTGCCGAGACGATGACATGACTCGCAGCTGCTCTGGCTGCTGCTGCTCTGGCTGCTGCTGCTGGATGCCGTTCTTGTGGCTGCTGCTCGTGGTGTTTCTGGCTAGGTAGTGGTGCTGGGTGTGCTGTTTTGATGGAGGGGGAGAGGAGGGACGCCCCTTGCTTGTACGGTGTGTCTCACAGACGCGGACAACGAGCCTGACACTGAGCGCGCACGCGTGCGTGTGTGCCTGGCTATCGCACGTACACAGGACTGCGCCCCCGCGGCTGCTGACACATGCACGAACAACAACAACGCGCAACACGTGAACGAAGAAGCAGCAAGCAGCAAGCACCAAGACGACGAGTGCAAAAATACGGCACACAAACCAACAACCAACAAGGAAGGAGCAAGAGGCAACTGCCTGCCTGCCTGTCTGCATTGTGGTGTGGTGTTGTGTTGTGTTGTGGTCGTGGTGGAGCGAGCGGGCGTGCAAGGAACGACAAGCAATGGCGGAGAAGGTGGTGGGGGAGGGTGGAGGAAGAGAGGCGCAGCAGCGCCCGCGCTCTGGAAGTGCCCGCGTGACGGTGATGAGCGCAGACGCGTTGTTGGAACGGCTGCAGAAGACAACGCGCAACTTCATGGTGGCGCACGAAGCCGATGAGACCATGCACATCTCATCCAAGGATCCACCGGCACTGCGCATCTGCGATGTCATGTGCGAGATCTTCCAGCATGGCTTGGCACTGCATCACTCGTTCTTCCAAGCCCTTCGCAGCCAAGAGAGCGAAGTCAACAGCATCTTCGAGGGTCTCTGGTCCGTCATCACAACGGCGTTTCCGCATCCACTCATTGAAGATGTACGCGTGTGTACATATGTGTACATGTGTGCATGTGTGTGCATGTGTGTACATGTGTGTGCCTCTGTGTGTGCACGCATAGGGGCTGTTGCTCCCCCAGTGTGGTGACCATCTCGCCCCCCCCCCCGCGCGCCACCATCACCACCAACACCAATCAACCAACATCCCCTGCCTCTCATCTCCGACAATCCATTCAGATCAACGACATTGGGCTTCCTTCTGCAAGGGCTCGCTGCAACGCTTGGTTTCGCAAGAACGTCGGCTCCTTTGGCCGCATCCTCAGCGATATTGCATCACACTCCACGCGCGCGCACGATGTCATTGCGACAAAGTACAAGGTGCGGTAAGCTGGGTACACTTCAGGAGTGCATGGACCCAGTGTACAGCACCTCCTGACGCACGCACTCACTTACATACATACATACATACACACACACACGCACCCACTCGCCAAACAGGACGATGCGTTTCTGCGGGACGTGGAGAAGGTGTCCGCTGCTGCTGGATTCTGCACCATGCTAAGCGCGTACACCTTCAACCTCGCCGTATCGGACTTGCTTGTGAAGCCGCCGTCGCCTGCGCCGAGCACTGCCCCGTTCCGCAAGCGAACATCGTCACGCTCGCGTGTTGTGAAGCCAAACACTCCCAAAGACGTGGCGCCCGAGGACACCGCCCTTGGTCGGTCTTCGTTTCGCCATTGAAACTGCTGCGCACACGCACACGTTGGTATGCTTGCTTGCCTGCCCCCATTGCGAGTGATCAACGCGCATCTCACCCACGATGCACACCTTGGCTTTGTGCCGTGGTGTGTGTGGTGTGTGTATGTGTTGTGTGTGTGCGTATGTGTTGTGCGTGTGTGTATTTGTGTTTGTATGTGTGTGTGTGTGTGTGCCTGTGGCTGTTGCTTGTATACTGCTTGACTTGCATGCGGTTGACAGGCAAGGATTGGAGCAACGTTGCAGTGGACACGGGCAAGGTGCTGAAGGTGCAATCGCCCAAGCTCAAGAAGAAAAAGTGAGTGACCCGCATGCACGACAATTTGGAGAGGAGAGGCATGCGCACTGTGTACTTTGTCCTCACTCACTCACTCACTCACTCACTCTCGCACACACACACGCACGCACGCACGCACGCACGCACACACACACACACACACACACACACACACACACACACACACACACACACACACACTCACTCACATACTCACTCACACTCACTCTCAAACTCACACTCACACTCACTCACTCGCACACTCACACACCCAACACACCACAGGAAGAAGAAGAAGACGGCCACGACGCGGGAAGACCGCAGCTCGTCCCTGCGTTCGGGGTCGTTTTCTGTTGTGTCACCGGACGTGCAGTCCCCCATTGGGCGCAGATCTCCTGTCACTGTCCCCGCCACAGCAACAACGACAGCGACAGGGGCAAGAAACGAGAACGGTGGTGGTAGTGGTGCAGTCAAGAAGGGCTATGCAGGAGGGGATGTGTTTGCATTTGACGGTGCTGACCGCGACGACGCGACGGACAAACGAGAGAAGCGGAAGTCGAGGAGCAAAGGCTCCAGTGTTTCATCCAAGGGCTCCACAACAACACCACCAACAGAACAACAGCAACAGCAGCGGCGGCGCGACCGCTCAGCGCCCCATCGAGAGGAGAGCTTTGCAAACTCGCTGAGCGCGGCGTTTCAGGAGGAAAAGGCGCTGCTCACGAATGGAACTGGCAGTCAGCACGACGACAAGGCAACGCCCCCACCGTCATCAGCCACAATGCCAGGACCAGAGCGTGATGGTGATGGTGGGGATGGGCGGAAGCGAACGGTTCAACGGCAGCCAGAGACGGATGACTTCACACAACAACAACAACAACAACAACAACAACAACAACAACAACAACAACAACAACAACAACAACAACAACAACAACAACAACAACAACAGCAACAACAACAGTCCGTGCTCGCAGAAGTGAACGCAACAGCAGCGGCGGGAGCGGAGATGGCGAAAACGGTGGATGATGGTGTGGGGGCAGACGCGAAGGCTTCGTCTGCACAGCGCGGGCTATGCGATTGGATGATTGCTCAAGCTGAGGAAAGAGAGCGAACAGAATCACAATCACGCGTGACGGATGCCGCTGTTGACAAGCAGCAGCAACACGAGCAACAACAGCAAGGGAAGCAAGAGGTGCCGCAACGTGTTGGTGGTGACAAGGGTGAAGGAACAGTGCTGACTCAGGACAAGAACCATCACGACGCTTCCACAACAGCAGAAGCAATACCACCATCATCATCATCATTAGCAGTAGCAGCAGAGGAGACACGACAGCCGCCAGCAGCGAAAGCGGTCACCCCACACCCGTCCACATCGTCACAAACGTCCATGTCAGGACCACCGAGTCCGGTTTCGCAGGCCGGAATGGAAATCCACCAGCGGCCAGAGTTTTCACCCGACCCAACAGCACGGGTGGGCACAATGCAGTGTGTGTGTGTGTGTGTGTGTGTGTGTGTGTGTGTGTGTGTGTGTGTGTGTGTGTGTGTGTGTGTGTGTGTGTGTGTGTGTGTGTGTGTGTGTGTGTGTGTGTGTGTGTGTACGTGTGTGTACGTGTGTGTACGTGTGCGTATTGTGACAGGGCATTTGATCATCTTTGTGTGTGTGGACAGAGCAAGGGCAAGTTTTCATGCGTTGGTTTCTCTCTTTCTGCATGGTGCTGATAGGACATGAGCCATTACCTCTTCCACATTGGTGCACATATTGGGATGTGTGCCCAAGCGTTCAAGTGCTGGGACTGCAATGCCCCCATTTCGGCCGAAGGCAGGCCATTGTGCGTTTATACGCCTTGCTGCCTGTGTTGACATGTGTTGGCCTGTGTTTGCATGTGCATGTGTGTGTGCGTTTGTGGCGCTCTCTCCTCATTTTCTTCACTTTTCACCGCACGCACACAACCAACCCCCCTTCACACACACACACACACACACACACACACACACACACACACACACACACACACACACACACTCTGCTCGTCGTGCCACAACCGCCACCGCGTCCTGATTCCGTCTCGTCTCCTGCACGATTGGGACAACAACAACTACGAAGTGTGCAACAAGGCCAAGGACTACATCTCCCACATCCTCGACAACGTGCGTTTCATATGTGAATGTGTTTCATGTGTGAATGTTTGTGTGTGTGTGTGTGTGTTTCATGTGTGAATGTTTGTGTGTGTGTGTGTGTGCTCATCTGCTCACCCATTACCCATCATCGCCCCCCATCTTACTGTGAATTGCGTGTGCAGAACTTTGTGTTTGATCTGCAATTGGTGCAGCCGATGCTATTGGAGCATGTGGAGGCCGTCAAAACATTCATGTTAGTGGTTGTCGCGCATGAATTGGGGGGAACGCTGAGGCACATGATGCGAAAACATGCTGCTGGAGTCCACGTTCACACACATGCACACGCATGCACACAAATGCATGCATACATGCGCTCGCTCACCCACTCACGCATTCACTTTCTCGTGCACGTGTATGCATGCACTTGCCTCCCACATATCCACGCACCTTGCTCGTGCACGTCACGGCCCACTGTCACTGATTCTCCCGTGCACCAGGGATGTGCGGAAGGATTTCTTCGTTGGATATCAGGCCATGAGCATGTGTTCATCGGCAAAGCTGTCAAACGTCATGTACTATCTCGGTGACCGACCACACATCCTCTCTTCCTCCAACCTCGTCTCGTTCAAGGACCTTGAAGAGGTGCAGTGGCATGAACACCAGAGAGTGTGTGCGTGTGTGCGTGTTGGGCGGGGGGGGGGACACGCACATCAACCCACACACACACACACACACACACACACACACACACACACACACACACACACACACACACACACCCGTGTCACTCTATGTTGCTGTTGTTCAGGTGAAAACGGGCAAGTTGGTGAAGCTGCTCAAGTGGGCGTGTGGCGTCATTCGCGGTCACACAGACTCCTGCCCTTCCTGTCAGGAGAAGGTGTGTGTGTGTGTGTGTGTGTGTGTGTGTGTGTGTGTGTTCGACGATGCAAGTTTGAATGCAGCGCGGCCTGTGTTCACATCACACATCTTCCTCTTCGCATCCCATCACACCCCCCCCCCACCACACCACACTGCTGAAACTGAACATTGCGTCCCGTGCTTTGACGTACTTCAACACAGATGCTGCACACCAGCCATTCGCTGACGGCGTCTGAGTCCTGACTGCGTGGTGGATGTGTGGAACGTGCAAAGCAGGGGTCTGACCACCACCCACCACCCACGCACAGGGCACAACAACATGTTACGTTACAGTTGCTTGTGCGCATGCGATCTGCTTCAATTTGGGTTCATTGTGGGAGGAAGGTCAACACGATGCTGATGTTTACAACGTGCACATGACCAGAACAGAGGGTGTGGTGGGGACGAATAAACGTCAACAATAGCACTGGGTTGCGCCAACAACAGAGCATCACACAACAGTCAACATGTGAAAGGGACAGTGGCAACGCCGCGTCTCACACAACACAACCGACAAGACAGCATCAAAGCACGCGTGCGTGCATATGTGTGTGTGTGTGTGTGTGCATGTGCGTGTGCGTGTGCGTGTGCGGGGTTTAGAAGGGCTTGCGGATGAGGGCAGGGGCGCTGCCCTTAAAGAAGTCGACCACGGTCTTGGCCTTGGCAGCCACGTTCTCCACGGTGAAGCCAAACGACTTCATGACCTCTCCGCCGGGGCCGGAGGCGCCAAAGCTGTGCATGCCGACCTGCGCATGCGAGTACTGCGCACAGGAAACGTTGCGGGTGTCGTGGCGTGAGCACAAACGCGAGAGAATATGGCCACACTCACTTTGCGTCAAAGGAGGCTGGAGACACATACACACACACGCTCACGCACGCACACACACACACATACGCACACACACACACACACATACGCACACACACACACACACAATGCAACCGAGCAGGAGTGTGACAAACCTTCTCCCAGCCCTGCGTGCACTGGGCCTCGACAGAGAGGACGGGCACGCCAGGGGTGAAGACGGACTCCTGCAGTTGAACACAAGCACACGCGCCACACGAGACGGGTCATGAGTGACTGGGCACATGCATGCATGCATGCCAGCACACACGTGATGTGATGTGATGTGATGTAATGTGATGTGATGTGATCTAATGTGCGAAGGTGTGATGAGTGCCACAGCTGGAAGCAGCACCTTGTACTCCTGGGACTGGGCGTCAAAGAGCTCCCAGCAAGGGAAGGACACCACGCGGGCGTGGATGCCTGGAGGAAGGGAGGGGGGAAGGGGGTCATAATAGACACAGGGAAGAAAGGGGGTGGCAGCCAGGCAATGAGGGGCGTTGGAGGTGAGATTGCGGCTTCAACACTAAGCCAAACCAAAACACGCGCAAGCAAAGACGTGCATTGTTGTTGCTGGATACATGACGCACCCTCCTTTGCGAGCTCCTTTGCGGCGTCGGCGACGAGGGAGAGCTCCGTGCCCGTGGCCGTCAGGATGATCTACACATAGAAGCACACAGACGCGCAGATGGATACAGAGAAGCACACACGCAGACACACACGCGCGCACACATGCACGCAAACGCGAATACACACAGACACACAGACGTACGTGTGCACACATGCAAACAGGGCCGGACCAACAGCAGGTGTTGGGTGAGTAAGCAGAGCGTTGCAGTACGCGAGACAAGGGCATGTATCTTGCTTGCGATGGGACGAAGAACGCACGCACACAGGCAACCACAACCACGGACAAAAACCAAGTGGCACAAACAACAGAGATGGAAGTTGGATGGATGAGTACATGGGTGTGATGGTACCTGCGGGTTGGGGGCGTCCTGCACAGTGTATGCGCCCTTGGCAACGCCGTCAATGCTCGTGCCCTCGACGTGCACAGCGCTCTGACGGGAGAGCGCAAAGACAGACGGGGTGGTGCTGGCGGCCAGGGCGACCTTGTAGGCGCCAGAGGTCTCGTTGCCGTCAGCGGGGCGGAAGACGTAGAGGTTTGGCAGGGCGCGGAGGTGGGCCAGGGTCTCCACGGGCTGATGCGTGGGACCGTCCTCGCCAAGACCAATCGAGTCGTGGGTGAAGATGTACAGCACGCGCAGGTGCGACAGCGCAGACAAGCGGATGGAGCCAAGGCAGTACCCTGCGCAAATGATTTTTTTTTTGGGGGGGGGGGGAGTTGGGTTGGTGAAGGGTTTGGAGAGGAGAGGACAAAGACGTGAGCAACATGTGGGGTGAAGTGTGGGAAAACAGTGGAGGAAAACCGTGTGGGAAAGCGGTGTGGCATTCAACGCGCGCTCATGCTGATCTCATTTCCCAACACACACGTGCGCACATGCACGCACAATACACCACAATATACGTTCACGTGTGTACCTGTGAAGGTGAGGAAGGTTGCGCCAAAAGGGATGAGGCCGCCGTGAGCAGCGATGCCGTTGCAGATGGCTGCCATGCCGTGCTCGCGCACACCAAAGCGGATGTACCTGGCAGTGGTCAGCGGTGGCAGCGTAAGATTGAAAGTCGTTGTAGACGCGTGTGCACAGAGAGAAAAGGGAGGGGACCTAACGCGCATCAACACGCCTTTCCCACACAAACACAAACACAAACAAAACAACCAAAAAAAAAAAAAACACACACACACACAACCACAACCACAACCACAACCACACACAGACACACAGACACACAGACACACAGACACACAGACACACACACACAGACAAACGCACCTGCCCTCTGGCGTCTGTGGGGCAAAGTCGACGCTGTTGCCGGGGACCTTGGTGTTGTTGGACGGGGTGAGGTCGGCAGAGCCGCCAATCAGCTCCGGAATCTTGGGCACAACCGCCTTGAGCACGTGCGACGAGTACTTGCGCGAGCCCTCGCTCTTGTCCGTGGGCTTGTAGGTGGGCAGCTCGGCCTCCCAGCCAGCAGGGAGCTCGCCAGCCATGGCGCGCTTGTACTGGGCAGCAAGGTCTGGGAAGGACTGCTCGTAGGCAGCAAAGAGGGAGGTCCACGAAGCTTCCTTCTCGGCGCCAACGCCCTTGAACTTGCCAAAGTGGGCAGCAACATCCTCCGGCACGAAGAACTTCTTCTCCGGGTCAAAGCCAAACAGCTTCTTGACCTGTTGTGTTGCGGCAAGAGGTGGAGTGTATGTGTATGTGAGTCAGCGGTAGGGAGGGAGAGGGGGAGAGAAAGAAGAGGAAGAGGAAGAGGGCACAGATAGAGAGAGAAAAGGAAGAGCATGACACATCACAACGTATGTGTGTGTGTGTGTGTGTGTGTGTGTGTGTGTGTGTGTGTGTGTGTGTGTGTGTGTATGTGTGTGTGGGGGGGGGGTTACGAAAAGCACGAGGAGAAAGGAATACAGAGGCGCGAAAAGGGACACACATCATGGTAAAATGAACGCAAGAGAAGTACGAGCCAAAGGGCAGCACGTGCGTGGTTGTGTGGTGGCGTACGCTGGCAATGTCGTCGTCGCCGAGTGGAGAGCCGTGCACCTTCTCGGTGCCCTGCTTGGCGGACCCAAAGCCAATGGTCGTCTTGACCTTGATGAGCGACGGGCGCTCCGTCTCCTGCAGCGGTGCAACGAGGAGGGGAGAAAGGAGGGATGGGATGGGGTGGGGGAAGATGTGTTAGGTGAAGGCGTGAAAAGTGTGTGTAAGTGTGTGTGTGTGTGTGTGTGTGTGTGTGTGTGTGTGTGTGTGTGTGTGT